GGGGTCTCCAAATTTCCAGGGGGGGTTCCATGTGGGGGAAAATTGAGGAAAATGGTGAAAATACATGATTTTTAAAGAAAGTTCTCAGGCTGGGGGGGTTTCCTGAAGCCCCCCAAAAAACCCTCTTGATCTGCCACTGATTTATAACATGGAATTGATTAAGTGCTATGAGAAGAAGAGCTGAATATGATGTCGAGTGAAGATATTCCCTAAATCGGTATTAATTACCGGTAGTAATAAGTATATTTACCATCTCTCGACATGCATATTAGAAAACAAGATGATGGCTGCATCCCTGGTAAGAAGTTTAAAGCCACACTGTGTGTCTTTGATTCCACGCACACACAGACACCAAACCAGGAAGTGGAAACCCTTCATCAGGAACGTCCGAAACAGGGACCGCTGTAGACAGAGCATCAACCAAAATATTACTGACATAACCTTAAATAAAATCTGCAGATCTAAACACAATGTACATGTTTGGTTTGTTTGTTTTTGTTTTATGTTCTATTAACAGCTAGTAATGTGCCAGGTTTTGGTGGTGGAAGGAAGCTGGAGTTCCCTGAGAGAAACCACAGACTGATCCGACTACCCCAATAGGCCTCTAACTTGTGATCCACTGGTGGAGGGCTATAATGATCAAGACGGTCAGCCACCTTAACCACTTGACCATCGTGGTCCCACTATGTACAGTGTTTTGTTTTGATCTTCAAGCACAACTAATGCTTCTAACATATCAATACTGGCTAATCAAGAAGAGGCAGAAATGTTCATAAGTTTAGATGTTGGTTCAGCATAGTTATCTGCTCTTGTGAGCAGGTATTGATTGTTACGTCATTGGTTTGTGAGAGTAACGTCAATTTTTTTTGAGAAAACGACATAATTTTCTCACACAAACTAATGACATAACAATCAATACCTGCTCACAAGAGATAACTCTGCAATACGAAAAGACAGAATATATCAATTTATATAATTGTATGAGATTACCTAGAAATGAGGATTTCAATGTTTATAACAGTATAGTATAATGATTTTTTTATTCAAAGAAATAAGATTTTATTACTTTAATCGATAGAAAATGGTTATGTGTTTACCGGTAGATATTCAATGCAAGTAACCAAGTCATGTACTTATCGACTTAATAGGTGATTATTGTAGATAATCCCACGGCGGGCCAACACTTTTCTATTGTATACACGCTATACAAAATCATGCTCCCGTTATATAAATTCTATTTCCTCTATGTTCCTCTAGGAAGACAATTTCATGTTGTGAGTTTTTTTAATGAGTTTTAAGGAGCCTAAACATTTTAAATGCAGAAAAGTATAATTATCACAACACATAACTGGTAGTACAGTTTATAACAAGTTTTGGTAATCTGCTGAAAGATAATAAAAGAGACAAAAGAGTTATTTTGAAATCTATTATTTTAGAAAATCTATTCCCCCCCC